ATTTCATGGGCTTGTCTAATACGCTGGAAATAATTATTGGCGCGGGTATCGTTTTAAGTAGATCCCATGTATTAGCTCGAGTGTTCTGTGCCGACCCTATAGCTGGTCCTATCAGGGCATTGCTTAGGTTCTGTGACGACCTGGATTAACTCAAGTGCGGTAAAAAAGGCTTAATTGTTCGCAAGAGCTAAGGGCCGAGCTAGATCAGCCAATTCCTAAATAGTACACACAGTGATTATTATGACAGGTTTTTTGCGAAAACTCTCAATAAAAAAAGCCCATCTCATTTTCAAAATGACCGGTCCGGCCGACTAGGTCTGACTTGTGGTATGAGCCGTGTAAGTTTTGCATTGTAGGTTGCTAATTAAAAATGCTTTTTGTATATTTTCCATCACTCCGCCCTGATGAAGGCTGCATGAAGTCTTAGCCAAAACAAGTATTTTTAACCAAAGTAACTTTTATTTTGTTTGGTCTTGAATCCACCTGGCTTACAGTTTCATTGTTAAACATTTTTGTAAGTGGAAAGCGAGAAACTTTTAGAGTCGGTTATTTAAACGAAGTATAACTTAGACCGCGGTTTAGGAAATCTTTGGACTTCGAGATCTCGTCCACAGTGGATTATTTTAAGAAGCAAATGCTTTTCTAGTGTACGCCATATGATTTCAAGAAACTGTTCACGATAAATGGTGTTTATATAAAAGCGTTCGGCAAACTGAAAATGGCTTAGAACGCGGTTTTGTTAAACACTGGCTAAACTCCGTTTAAATAACTGGCCCTTCGTATTTTCATTTTTATTTCAATTTCTGTGTCAGTAATTTTTTTCTGTGAGGTGTGGTCGCGGGATTTGGTGCGACTCGCCTGTGGTGTTCCCTGCCCAATGAATCTACAACACGCGCAATTTGTTGTAGTGTATCGTGATAAGGGATTTCTGCAGCGCGTGCGGTTTTAGAAAAAAGTCAAACCGTGCCGACCTCGGCTTAGTCCTGAACACTCTTTAAGACCCTAATCTTGTACTTTATCCAGTTTGTATCTTTTCTGTGAACTTTCCGGCACGTCCTAGGTCAAGTATTTCCCTTGCATGAAAAATCCAATTAACTCCTGTGAAATTTGAAATCGTGTTGTGTGGTATCTTACCCACATTAAAACGTGCACTACAAAGCTTTATGTCCAGTTGTCATCAAACCAATTTGTACTTAACATGCCCACACTTGTTTGGAGATTGACCCGGACTGACCGGTAGTTTTCTGCGTATAAATGACAATCTCAAGTATTAAAACTTGTTTAGACTTACCTTTCGACATTTCTTTTGGCATTAAAACCTGCTTGAGTGTCTCTTGAGGAAGGGACAAATGTGGCAATTGTACCATTATCACTTGGTTTTATCATAGAAAAGATTGCGTAGTGTGAGGTAACAAGGTACAACCACGACTTAAATATGTTTCAGCCGGTGAGATATGAAGCAAAAGAATGCGCTCAATCCAGTTTTACTATCGAAAATTGAGCCCGGTGTTTTTAAAGCATCGCATGCCCTAACATCAGTGAACTCCTTTTGATGCGTGCATGGTATTAGCGAAAATTCCAAACATGTTTATCTCGAGTGTGCCACTTGTCTCTAGTTACTCTAGCCACTAATCCCTTTATTGTATCTATTTTGTATCTTTTTTGCGTCCCGGAGGGCAAGTCTTGTGTCAAGCGTTCAAGTGTCTTACCTCGCGTGAAGAGGAATCGTTTAGTGTTTGTACCTGATTTTACACGGGATTATTTCTTATCCAACCCTTCCAGGCGTAATGTTGAACTCTGAAGTGTCCTGATAAAACCCCTTACTCCAAGAACAAGTTACAGCGAGACAGATCTGTCAATCGAACTTTTAAATCTGTGGACAAATTCCTATGGTGTTACCAATCAAATGAAACCTCTTCAGCAGTATTTTCACTTGGTACTATTTATTTAGTATGTAGTTCTAACTTTAAAATCTGTGGACAAATTCCTATGGTATTACCATTCAATTGAAACCTTTTTGGCCGAAAATTTGCATAGTACTGTTTATTTCTTACAATTTTACAATAAGGTATTAAAGTTGGGGTTTGTGAATTTTTCAAATGGCCTCTATAATGAGTAAAAAGGTTAAACTGGAAAGAATTGCTTAGAAGCCTATCTTTAATGATATCTGATTCCTCTGCCCCAGCCTCTAATGCAAGGTATTCCATTGTGGCCTGTTGTTCTCTTGGCATCCCCTGCGGGCGTGACTTGACATCTTGTTTAACTATCTCAAACAGTGGAAACTACAATTGGGGTTCCTTCCTTTGTTTGCTTACTTCCTCCAATGTTATCGCACGTGGCGTGTGACTAGTCGTAAAAAGATCGACTGTCATTTCACTGCTAATGTTATGTTTACCACTTTAAACAGTCGCACCGAGGAGCAGCTTATGTAATATTAAGACAAATGCATTCTGTTACAGATAGAACTTAGAACCTAGAGATGTACTCGGCAACATTGGTGACTATTTTGATCTTACTGTAAATACCTGCACTGCGTCTCTCGTGTCGGCTTAACGTAGCGTAATCCTCTTGTCTTAAGACTAATCTTTTATTGTACATGTATCTTTTTTGTTTTACTTCCGTTGTTGTGTCGTGTCAAGCATCCTGGCTGGCACAATATCAAAGCGATTCACCGTTTAGTTTCCGTAACTACTATTATAACATCGTGTTGTGTGGCTAGATACCACACAAGTAGTACTATTTCAACACTTAACTCTCTCGATATGCTTTTCTTGTTTTCAGGACTTTTCGTCAGAGAAAGGTCGTTGGGAAGAATTCAAGCAGTGCGTCAAGAAAGAGATGTCTTTGTGAAAAACCAAGCCTCAAGAATATTTATTTGTTGAACTCATCGATGCGGTAGATGTTTAGCCAGTGGTGGAAACATGTAGATAAGTGAAACAGCGTGAACTTAAGCGTTACGTATTTCCGCTGAGGAAAATAACCTTTCGTGATCGATTGGGTGAAAATTGGGTTCGAAACATTCTTAACAACCACAAGAAAAATATACAGTGTTAATGTTATCCCTGTGTGGTGCCCACATTTTTTTCTGTATTCTTCTTCACATTACCTCAAGATCTTCAACATCTATCAGCACACTTAGCCTTTATATTATATAATAAGCCTTTATATTGCTGATTCACGAACGATCTGAGGCTTAAGCTTTTATTTATTTATTTTTTCAACATCGAAGGTAGTTAAAGGAGCAACCAACACTATTTTCATTAAAATAGTGAAACATTGAGAGATAAGATACCATAGGAAGTATAGTTCACTATCCTGTATTCGAATATCACAAGCTACAATCTTCACCACAACAGACGTTCAAACATTTGGAAAACACATAAACATCACCACAGGAAAGCATCAACCAGATGCTTCCTTTCAAATAATCTAACTTAGATTTCATCTAACAACAAGAACCAGTTTTGGTGGCTTTTGAGCTGATAAAACCTCATGAGTCAGCTCAAAGGGAGCCACATCGAACATTTGCGTCATAGGAAATAGTCAATAGCCGAATAAATTGATCTGTATAAGTAATCATCCACATTGGAACACCTTATACTATATTGAGTGTACTCAATAGCTTTTGTATGTTTATGGTGGCAATTTATGTTTTCGTTCGGTTGGACAGTTGTGGGGGAGAATATTCAATCACACTCCTTGCGACGTGCTCTATGCTTATTAAAACGTTAAAATGAAGAGTCATTGACAGCGTATACAGATTTGGTGTCCTGCAGAGCTGGATGTCATGTTTTCAAGTGCTGACTGGACCATAAACCAGCTGGGTGACCTGCAATTAATACTTTGTGTCAATTGAAATGATCATTGACTGTCTTTGCAATTGTAAACCTTCTCTGTTCATCTTCGAATATTAGTACGCGCATCCCCCGGATGGTGAAGTCTCTGGTGTCTTTCCTCCTTTTTTTTAAAGGGTCGGCGAAACAGTTTGTCTTAGACTTTCAATTCCTTTCTGTTCCCTTTCCCGATGGGCAGGTGGGTGCTCAACAACTTCAGAAAATTGGATCTTTATTCTAACGACGATGAGTTACGTAATCTCTGAAGAGTTCTTGTTAATCAAGCACCTAGCTAGAAAGCATGAGAAAGATATGTGGTTTGTCGCCCCATGCCTGAATGATATTTGCGTGGGTCAAAAACCTCTTGTTTACAAGAGCTCTCTCAAGAATAGTGGAACAAATCGAGAACATTGGTCCTTCTGTTCATGCGGAGAATTACTCGCGTGTTAAAAGAGTGACCGTTTCCCTCTCTATTACAAGAATGTTACCAGTGGAAACTTCTAATGAGTTCTTGAGGCTAAACGGCAATAAAGTGGACATTTCGTGGGATATTAACAAAAGCATGGACTTAAACTAGGTTGGCTAAGTAAAGGTGTTGTTTTATTTCATTTCCATCTTATAAGTTTAACAATTCTGAACCGTAGTCTATAAAGACTTTTAATTTACATCAATAAACAACGCTGGAAATGCAATATTGCTTGTTGCTTTATACCGGTATCCTCATACTTTTTGCTTACTAATGGTGAGTGAGATATAGTTTTCAAACAGTGAAACCATCGTACCGATTGCAACACAGGACTTTAAAAAGTCTTTCTGCCAAGATTTCTATTGTGTAGCTGTTGGCTATGTTGGTTCTCAGTTGTTAAATTTGGTGATTTCATATAAGAGATTTCTGTGGAATGAAAAACTCTTTCCGCTTACATTTAGTTAGTTTCAACACTCTGATAATGATTTCCGCACATTTGCTGCTCGCATACGACTGTACTTGTTACACTAATTGGTTCTTTTTTTACAGTAGCCCCCTGTTGCGTACAGTCGTTGACAAACGCACTCACTAACGAGAGAGCGATTACACGCGCATTAAGACATGTTACTAGCGCATGAAGCCGATGACATTTCATTCAGTGTACTAAAGAGAAAAAAATTGTCGTGTCAAAATTCACAGGAAAACGACTATTAATTAACGATTAGCAGCCATTAGAGATCTTTTGAGGAGGCGTGCTAATTACTTGTAAGTTAGTTGCCATTACGACCGAATGCGGAATTTTTTTGTTTTAGGGAATAACGTAACAAGTTTTACAAACTTTCTAAAAAGAGCAAAATTTTGATTGTGTTGCATTTGGTCAGTGGGTGATCGCGTGTTTGCGGTTTACCAATGGAAGCAGTGTTTAGAATAAGACCACATTCGATGAACTGAACCGGTTGGATAAAAACCGCGCGGCAGTCCACAAACATACTTAGTGGACAGGTTTGCGTATCTTATCGATGTCTGCCTTGGGGTGTAGATTGTTCTAGATGACGTCATTTGGTTTAGTGGCAGGATGTTCAAGTGTTTGTGTTATGCGCGAAACGGATCCATTAATTAGATATTGTTGCTTCACCACTTACAGGCTTCAGTGTGGAATTTATTTTGAGCGCTCTCAAGCAGGAAAACTTCACTCGAGAGAGCGCTGCAGATTGCGTGTGGATTCATCCTCCGATCACCTCTGTAATCACCAACAAGACTTGTCTAAGCTCGCAGTTTAAAGCCGCTCAAAGCTCTTAATCAGTCAATTATTGTCTCGAGGTTACATATTGACATTCTTACGTGTTTTCAGTAGCTGAAACTGTGTCATTCACCTACCGCCACGGCAGCACTCCCTCGGCGCAGCCTGTGAATAATTGAGTTCTAACTGTCCCGCCTCCCCTGTTTAAAATAGTCCATTTTACCAAAACATCACGCAAGGCGCCTAAAAGGTCGAAAAGTCTTGCGGTAATCAGGTTTCAGTCAGTCACTACTTAGTCATTCAGTCGCATTCCTAGGCTCTTCAACAAAGCCTTGGCTTCTGTTGACTAATGACTCACGGTGCTAAGAAGTAAAGTGGTCGGTGACACTGACGGTGGGCAAGTAATCGCCGCACTAATGTCAGTTTCTGTGGCAGTTCATTTCTACACAGCCTCCTTGGCGTTGCTGCTAGCCTTTGCAATCCTCCGCTTTCTCTTCTGCACTCTGGTTTTTCGCAAACTGGTCGTGCGGCTCTTCGTCAAGTTCGCGGGAGCGGAGATCAGTCAAGAAGTGTACGGAGACAGCTTGTTCGGATGGGAGATGTACAAAGCAGTGACGACTGCCTTAATGATAGACATGAAGAAGAAGGCTAAGCGGGGCAAAGAGGCGCCCAATCCCTCGTTGATGTCAGCAGACGGACAATCGCGTTCTTATCTCTTAGACTTCGCAAGAGAAAGTAGGCCACTCGTTGTCAACTTTGGCAGTTGCACGTGCCCTGTTTTTATGGAGCGACTCCGCGAGTTTGAGAACATCATGGCAGAGTTTAGTGACATCGCAGATTTTCTTGTCATATACATCTCCGAGGCACACCCCAAAGATGGTTGGGCTTTTCAGGTAATGATCTCACAATTAGATCTACAAAATCTAAGTCTATCGTAGCTACAAGTTGTACTTGACTGATCGCAGCGCTTTGCTCCCTTGATTTCCTAAATCATTCGCTGCACGCCAATATTCATTGCGCTCTAGCTTAAGGAACTTATTGGAAAGCTCGCATAGGGCTACAAACCTACTTGTACATTTGAATACCGTGAAATTGTACTGTATGGTCACTCGCGGGTAGTAAGAAACTCAGCGCGTATAAATATATCTGAATAATGATGAGCGAAGTTGAGCGTTAATGACGCGTGGATTATTTCTGTTTGTATAATTTAGACAGAGTTTGACGTCAAGCAACATCGCACGTTGGAGGAAAGGATCAGAGCGGCCCAACTGATGCTGAGCTCCTGCAATCTTCAGGCCCCAGTCCTGGTGGATTTCACGGACAACGAGGCGAATTTAGCTTATGGCGCGCTGCCAATTCGGCTCTGTATCATCTTAAATGGTCGAGTAGAGTTTACTGGTGGAATGGGACCGACATTTTACAATCCCGAGGAGGTTAGAAGATGGTTAAACAGATGGAAAGAAAGAGAAATCAAAGTGTAAAAGTGATTATCACCGCTGTATGAGGAAAATGATCCTTTTATTTATCGATCACCATACACAGAGTCATAGTACAAGAGACGGTGAAAGAAGACGTAACTAACTGTGTAGCGCACCGCGTCGCATACGCTTCAGACGGTTCAGTTTGTTCCTGTTCGCCATTGAACACTTTAAAACAAGAAACGATCGCACGCAGGATCGCCATGTTTTAATAAAGACGTTAAGCCAGGAACTGATCTCTTCAAATATCGCTTACAAGACTTGTGGACCTCGTGGCTAATTCTTTTGCGGTCAAGTACATCAAAGGTGAAATGACACGAGGAAATCTTTCATTCGCTCCTGGCAATACCGAAGGGAACGCAAGTTTATAAACTTATTATGATACTGTTTTGTTCTAAGACTGGTTGTTAGTTTAATATTGAGGGACTCATATCACAGCGGTATTCTAAACTTTATTGTTGAGGATCCTAGCCTAGTTCCAGCCGTGATGCGGAAACTTGCATGCCTTATTTAAAGTTTCCTAAAGCCTCCTCTCGTGTTATACGCCTCCAGGTATTTAGTGACAAAAGTTCGATAGCAATTATTTTTATCCAAGTGTCAGAGTTGCAGCGTTAGTTTGTGTTTAAAAATAAAACAAAGAAAGAAAAAAAACTTTCATGGGAGTGATCTTAGTCTAACCTTTAGCGTAAACATGAAAATCTACATGAAATCTGATTACTATTTTTCTCTAGACAACAAAACCTCATAATTTTGGGTTATGTTACGGGACGAGAAGTTGACTATCTTCACTTAAAACCGGAAAGGCGTACGATGCTACAGAGGCAAATGGTTATGCTTAACTTCTCAGACTGCAAAATCAAAACACAGAACTCAAGATGAAGGAAATTCCGATCAAACTAATGCTATAAAGTGCAGCAACCAAGGCATATTGTCCAATTACGACTTGTTTTCTCCTTCAATGACCCTGGAGGGTTTGTAAATAACAAAGCTTTTGTAACTTGCGTTGCTCACGCGATCGGTTTTTCTTGCGAGATCGTTCCCCTGCGCTTAGACGCCCACAGAAAACGCTCGCCGAGCAATACTTAAGCATTACCTGCGATAATCGCTTCGCGGAGAAACGCAGCGCAGCTGCTCCACAATCGCGTGACCAGGTTGTAAACACCCATTGTTAGCGTACTAGGCCCTCTCGCGCGTTCTTTTGTCAGGAAATAGATGATTTATAGCCTGATTTACGACTAACCTAGTGACATGCCCGCTTATTAATTTTTTCTGGTGGATAACCTCTGCATAAGGAGTCTTCCATGATATTTGGCCTCGTGTCGTCAAAAAAGCGTTACTTTTAAGCGCTGGAGTAGGCTTCAGATCGACCTACTTTTTAGTTGTCTGCGCATGTTTCAACATCCGTGTTGGGAAGTTGACTTTCTCCTCCAGCTACAGCTGTACAGCTGTGATCTTGCAAAAAAGTTTATTTTACAAATTTGTCTTATTTCTTGGCAAAATGTGGTGAAAGAAAATAAACAATTTCCGGTGATGAAACGTGGAGATTGTGAAATAGACAAATGTTTGATCATTTACTTAGTCATGCCCGAGAAATACTGTGCTGATAGAAAAAGAAAAATCATTTTCGAAGTTTAAATTTCAGAAAAGTGTCGTTCTTCTTCCAAAATCGTAGGGGAATTTGATTGTTTAATTTTGTAATCCGCATATATCCGTCTAAGCTATAGCATGATATTTTCCTACAGTCGCGTGACTTTTTTGGCTGTAACTGCCTGCATGTGCTGTCCGACTGTTCTTTTGTATGTCTTTTACAACACTACGTGAGCCCCATTATATAATTATTATCATTAACGTTATCTTACGTGATCAATCTCGCCTGTAAACCTTCCGGTGTTTTATTAAAGTATATTTGGGCTTATGGATTCTATTTTCTTTCTGTCTCAAATATTTCTCTGAGCATACATTTCTTGCGCCTTTTACTTACTCAGACAGACTTGGCGTTTGATTTCATCTTGGCAAATATCTTCATTACGCCGAACTAGGGCCGAATCATGCTGAGATCCCATTTTAATTGTAGCACGTATAAGGGAAAGGAGGACCCGTTTCTGAGAGGTTAACTAACATGCACAGTAGATTTAGTGATTAGAAATTGCAGTCATTTGTGAAGAGAATAATTCAAATGCGGAAAACACTTTAAATTTCTTGTTATCATTAACTTTTTTTATTTCAATTCGTTTATTTTTTCAATTTAATGTAAGCCTCTAATGAGGTTTCATAAGGTACTTTGGAGACAAAGCCTTTTTTCCAGTTTTCTTAGTGCTATATTTTTATTTGCTGTGTTTTTGGTTTTCCCTAAGATTAGCAACGTTATATAACTGTGTAAACAAATCGTTGCCAAATGCATAGAATCGAAACAAGGTCAGCGTTGAATTTCGAGTATACCGTAGTTTGTCGAGTAGCTTCTTATCTAGCCTCCCACGATGATAAAATCATTGAACAGCTGTACGCTCTGTAACCTTGACTTTCAAGAGTCCTTCGTTAAATAAAAACTTGAACCAAAAACATTTGCAAATTCCATCTAGTAAAATGTTGGAAAACGTTGCGATGAGAAAAGTCCTCAGTTTTGAAGGAATATATAAATTCGCTTTCACAGACTAATAAATTGGATTCAAACGTTTACGTAAGTAAAAGAAGTATGATAAAAAAAATACCTCGATAAATAACTTGCTAAATGCCTTAAACATAAAACCTATTTTCGGAGGCTTTACAGCCTTGTTGTTTTCATCTCGATTAAAGTGCTGATCATTTCCTATTGGGCGATTTCCTAACACACACAAAAAAAATGGTCGCCTGACCAATAAATTCTTGCGTGCTCGCGAAGACGTACTGTTTGTAAACAGTTAGAGAAGGAGGAATCAGTTATAAGTTGATATTATTTTTACACTAAACACAGGAACAAGCAAATGAGGATAATAGAATATTCTAGTTGGTTTTTTATTAGCTAATGGCTTTGTTTCAAAGACCGATTTCGTTGTCAGTTTTCTTCATTTGTGTAAACCTGCCACACGGCTTTAGTTTTTCTCCCTTTCGTGAGCGAGGCTAGTTTTGCAGAGTCGGAAGTTATTTGACCTTAAACTCTTGAATGCTTTCAACAGTCAGAACGTCTGTCAAAAACCTTGACTAGCTCATTGTGCCAAAGACTGCTTTTTTAACACAAAGTCAAATTAATAAACGAAGTCTAGACCATCGAAAACAACACATTACGAAAACTATCTTCTCTCAATTTCAGTAGTTAAACAGCCGCACGTTTGAGCACAACAATGTGGAAAACAAAAATTTTTAACATTTTTATCGCTCAAAGAGCCTCGGCTAGTAATTTTCTTTCCTGGAAAAACCTGTGCCTTTTAGATAAAAAGACAAGGATTTGTTTCATAGCCAAAGCAAGTCTGTATGGTTGTTGGTGACAATGTTTGAAAAGATCGGTGCTGTTAAACAACTACTATTTCGAAATTCCAAGTAATTGTTGAAGCAACGGGTCGTAAATTACCTCGTGCAAAAAAGGACAGACTCCATGCGGCTACAATTTTAAGTATTTAGTTTATTTCCACCTATGATTGGGCAATTAGCAACACTTCTAATGAAACATTTGTTGCGTTTACACCACGTAGTAAAGTTATTAATAATAAAATCGGTTTAAAACAGTAATTTTTTCCAGCCTTACTAATCCCTGTTAACAGAAACTTTGTGTATTTCGCTACTTTAATTTGCTCCAAAATTGACTCCAAACTAGGTAATTGGACAGGAAAAATAAAACTGATCGAAAATAAGGCGTGAAAGAGAGATCGAGAGACTGCGAGTTACTCTATTAGTCAGAAAAAAGCTTATACTATGTACAGTGTCGATACTTTGTAACTGACTTCGGTCATGAAGGACTGTCCTTAGAAAAGTGCTTGTCTCTTTTGATTAAAATTATTTTGCATTGATTGTTACGTATGCCCACGCAAACACTGATTATTCCAGACCTTATCATACAATTGAAAAACGTCTCTTTAAGTACTAGAAATTTTTCAGATTGTTTCCATTTCTTGTTGGTGTTAAGCCACCCTGCGAGCAGGAGTTTCTTTCTGGCATGGCTTTTAGCATTTGTGAAGACGTTCGTGTGGCTTGTCAGTCGCGTAGTTGGTTTAAACAACTTTGCCGAAGGTAGTGTTAAGCGCGACATTGGGATAACTACTTTTCTCCCCGAACCCTTTTTTTCCCAAGAGTAACCAATGCAAAGTCAAAATTCAACTAAATTTCCAAATTTCATTGGGTAATATTTTGAAAAACAAAAGACGCCATGTGAAGGTACTGACAAAGAGGTTCCATATGAATGATCACAACGCAGGATTTCGTCGACAGACTCAAACATTAGAACCACTTTAACGCAAAATAATTCATCATTGTACCTTTTTTTTGAGCCAGGCATCCATTTCACAAAACTCCCTAAGAGTTTTCGGGCCCAGAAAGTGTTTTTTCGCTAACGATCCTTCAGTTTAGTCGTAAAGATTTCCAATTTTACCCCTCGAAATTTGTTAAAAATCACACTTCTTCTTATAAACTTTGTGCACATGAATAGTTTTCCGCGACCGAAATGTTTTCGAGAGTTTTGAGAAACGCACGCCAACGGAAGCTTAAGGATCGGCCAGGGCGGAAAGCCTTTAGTTCTTAACAAATAAATGTTCTAATAAATGGTGATTAAGTACAGGTAGCACAGTGACACAGTGGTTCTTCGTCCAGAGTCAACCCTCTTTTAACGGACACATCTTTAGGACAGACACCTCGATAAGACGGACACCTGGATCTGGTCCGTGCCTTTCCGTATTCAGAGACAGACACATACTGATAGTGCTGATCTTGGAGGGATTTTACTGTATATCACTCCTGATAGAATTGGAATTTGGAAACCGCAGTTCCTGGAGAAAAACTTCTCGACGAAAAGACTTGAACAAACAACAAAGTCATCCTATGTGTCCCGTCGATCACTTCCGGGATTCAAATCCCGGGCCCTACTCTTAAGTTGGAAGAAGATTACTCTCACTCACCGCGCATGCACTCTTGCTCCCGGCTTGCATCCCTATCTTTTTCAGATTACTAAAATTTGAAGAATCAGGTACCCAGCTAGCACAACCCTAATTTCCCAGCGGAGACAAATTATTTGACTTAATTTCAATTGCTGTTCATGGTATGCCAAATAATGCTGTCGAGTTGTTTCAGTGATGTTTCTATTAATAAAACATTTAACGATAATAGTAATCGTCGTCGTTATGTTTGTCATTATTTATTGATTATTAACGATAACTAATGATAATGTTTATTATCATTATGAATCATGCCCTTTTATACCCAATGGGTAGAACTTTAATGATCGCGTGATTTCGACGGTACGCACAGATAGTTAAGTCCTGCTTGAGTAGCCATGCCATGCAATAGGTGTACAATCACGCAATCTGTGGGCGACAAAACTTCCTACTGTGCTAAAAATTCTTGAATTGTAGATTAAGCAAACGGTACACGAACTCGTAAAAGTTCAGGCACACACCTGAATTTAATTAAAATACCGCTTATTATGGCAACTTCTCCCGTCAGATCATCTCAAGGGCTTCTTAAACATTTGCTGATAATTGTTTGGACTTAGTTGACAAGTGTCCGACGATAGGGCTCCAGTACGGCAACACTAATTTATCACTTTTATCAAGAATTGCGAAACTACTTGCCAAATTTAATAGCATCATATACGACAATTTATCATTATAACGCCGATCGTCTCTTTTGGGGGGAGGGGGCGGGGACGTGGGAGCAGCAAATTATCGCAAATTGATTGCCCTTTTCTCACTTCATGTTGTTTTGTTTGTGGACTGATGCCGTCAATATTTCACTGTTTCATCATTCAATGTTGGTGATCATTCACCTGTTACTTTCGGACAAGAGAAACATAAACGTCATTTATAGTGCAGAAGTCACGATACGGGTTTTATCAAATGTTCACGCGAAAAATATCTCCATTCCTCAATTATCGAGCTGTGTTTCAGAAGATAGATTCATGATGTATTAACTGGGGAAACAAACATCTCGAGGAAGAGGATATTAAACAATTGAAACTACATCAGCTATCGCCAAAAAAATTGACACATCTTTAATTAGTTCTTTAAAAGGGCCAAAAGGTTGCATAATAAACCTTACTGAGCCAGCTTCCAACGTAAGGTGCTAATTTGAATGTTTAATTTACAGAAAACCCTCCACAAAGGAATTGTAAACATTTAAACAGTTACCAATGCCTTCCGGCCCTTAGGTCTCAACACAATGATGTTAATTAAGTGTTTTTTTTTTTGCTTGTTGACCGTAAATGGTTCATTCGCGTGTGATGTTAGTTGTCATTACCGTTCCAAAGACCTACCGAGCAATTCTCAAACTTTGGGGGATTGTACAGGCACCGACTAAACCCGGGGATTTAATAAGCGGTACAACAAGTCAATACGCTTTGAGACACTTCGGTCGTCCGACTTCCCGTTGACTTAGCCTACAGGGGGCGGGAAAGTCAACATGTACCTTTAGCCAATGCACGCAAACTCACTTGATCTACCAGAACTAACAGTGCGAATAAAGGCGTTTTTATAAACTCTCCAAACAGAAATCCTGATTCCCATAAGAAAACATTAGAATAACTTTCGCGCCATGCTGAAACTGAATCCTTGAATATTTTCTCTGAATTTTTGGCCATAAAAAGTGTGAACTCTACAAAAAATATGATTTAACATGTGAGCAAACTATAAAGGGCTGACACGCGCTTATTTACTTAAGTTCAATCCTTAATTACAAACAGCTAACCATTGATCCCAAAAGAAGACAAAAATGTGTAAAGACATTTTTTAATCAACTAGTATTTACATCTCTGAGCTGCGAATTAAAGTTGACGCGACTAGCTAAGACGTTATTTCTACAGATATCTGACCACAACTCTCGCTTTGCTTGATCATCTGCTAAGCAAACAAACCGGGCTACGAACGCCTTGCCTAAACACAGAGACACGGAAAATAACCACTTTGTTTTTCAAAGTGCAAAATCTGGCTAGAAATTAAAAACATTATTACCCAACCTTAAATGCCAAAAGAAATATTTTTGAAATACTCTGGTGCTTTGTATGAACAAAAATTTTCTTGCTAGCTTACTATGTTCTCTGGTTGTGTAAAATTTCCGGCTCTGGTAACTTCATACTAATCGAGTTTCTATGTTACTTTGCCGGAAGGTATGAACCGGAGTAAATCGTTGGTTATAGTCATTGCTAACATACATCGGATGCATGTCTTCAGTGAAGGAGGTCTTTGCTTAATATAAGCTGCATGTTTTACAATGTAATATGGTGCTCCTTCAACAACTTTCTTTGACGTTCTGTATGGGCCAGCAGCCAAGTCGTTAACTGATAAGGCTCTTGTTAGCACACAAGAGGGTACTTCGCCAGTTGTCTTCAGCTTCATGCCCTGTGGCGGCCACTTCTAATAATTTCTGCCCTATAATCCTTTAGCCACTGTTCCACCTCTTTTGGGGCGTAAAACGTTGGCCCCATCCCACCAGCGAGTTCTATTTTATTATTTTTTATAATATACAATCGGATCGGCAGGCCTCCATAAGCCCTACTTGCCTCATCGTCCATTGTGTCCACTACAACGGGACAGTCAAATTTTACTGAACTCAACATGAGTCGCGCTGCCTGACATCTTTGTCCCAATGTTTCATGAGCGGGAATTACAACATTGTTCTAGAAAGAAAGATAAACGATTGCGTTAATTTCTATCCTTGCATATGAGGAAGGTATTGATAGGTACATAGGCATGAGCAGAAAATTTTCGAGCGCCTCTCTCGCGATATAAATTGTCTTACTGAAACTTGTCAGTTATACAAACACTTTTGCGCGGTTAAAGCTTTTACTTTCGCTTGGAGAAAGGAAAAAGTTAAAGAGGGATTTTTGTGCTTACCTCAAACGCCCATCCATTAGAAGGATGCGCCTCCTCTATGTACACAGTGAGGAAGTCAACCACATCACGGAATTGGCGCACAATACTGAGAAACTCTTGTGTTCTCGCTCTAAAAACAGGACATGACCAACTGCCAAAATTTAGCACTAGTGGGCGGTTTCCCCTGCAAAAGTTCAGCAAATGAGGATGTGAAGTCCCGTCTAACGTAACTACAGAGGGATTCGGAGCGCGCTGTCCCAACCGCGCAGATTTTTGCAGTTCGCACAAAATTGCAGCACGCACAGATTGAAACATGTGCCATGTGAACAGTGAATTCCAGTAGTCTGCCATAGGTAGGTCGATTGTCGTTGCTATTTTCCAAAGTTTGGCCCAGGTCGATTTGCCCCAAGGAAGAAGGCGTAGAACACGGAGGCACAAAAACGCGAAAAGCAGCAATACCGTTCCCGCGCAATAAGACAGCATGGCTGTCATCTGTCGCAACATCGCGGCGTGAATTCGCATCTTGTTCTCTGCAATCGTATCTATGGCTGCTACCGATGCACTACTTCGCCATCTGTGCTAGACTCGGCTCTGTGCGGATTTATATCGCTGCGCAAAAAAGGAATTTCAATAATTCCTGTACTCTCTTCAAAACACTTTCCAAATGCCTGACCTTTCACATGAACTCTCGCGTGATTTGTCAAAACTGTTTCCCGAATACAGGTGTTGAGAAAATATGGGTCCGAGGGTGCGCACGAATCCATTTTTTCTTGTTATTAGGCTTTTTTTATTTACATGCTGCCCTTAAAGTCACAAAGCAAGGTTGGGTGAAATTTGTGAACAATTCACTTTTGTGTTTTCTCTGCGTGCGTGAGAGCATATGACTTATCGATGGTCTTATTTCCTTCTGTGTTTTTTGTTTCCGAAAGTGACCTCCGTTTTTTCTGGAAACTTGACGCATCACGGAATAGCTGTCTAACGTTTTTAAGCCTCTTTCCTTGAAGTCAAGCACTGCTATCCTATTTTCTCACTCTCTATGTCCATTTGAGTTCCTGTCACTAGTTTTGAAGAGCGACCACCTCTTTGAACACCTTAATCTGGCAGTGGAAATAATGCATTTAGCGGTTTGGTTTTTGCAAGACTTTTCAAAACATCATTTTCATCTCTACAATTCTTCAGTACAAATATTAAGTCATACTTACTTTTGCTCTTCTAAGTTGTGTAAATAGTCTTACAACTGTCTTTTAGGATTAGGTTAAAGGTACAAATAAACATTTAATTAAAAGAGGACATATTCTAAGTTAATTAAGTTCACCTTCAAAATGTATTTTTACTTTTCCCTGCACCGTATGTGGCCCGCTTATAAGTCTGCTAAAGCCGGAAAACTTGAGAAACTTAATCGAAAAAGAATTTAATTCCTTCGGTTAAGTGTGTAAAAGTTATACATTTTGCATTAATTCCAATATTCCTACATATTCTTAAATCGTCGGTGAGCTGATATTCTGCCTACTTTGAACCCAACACCTCCTTCCCCCCCCCCCTCCCCCTCCCCTTAAAATCGGCAAGGTGAAGAGAAAAACGCGCGCGGTTAGATGCAAGGTGCATATGACCAATTTATATGTAAGCTTCAATACTATTAGTTTGGTCTTCAAAACAAAGAAATTTAATGTGCTTGTCCTTCTCTTTAAAGGCAGAAAATGCTACAGCACAGAAACTACTTGAAAAGTCAGCCGGAAAACTCTCCTTCGCAAAAAGGACGCATTTGAAAGAAAGCTCACTGCTCAATAAATGTGACTGTACGCACGTTTTGAATTAGACCAATACGACATTACTAAATTATCACTAATTACTAAATAGAACCATTTGGTTTTTTAAATTCCTCACAATAGTCAGTGATTGCCCTTGCGATTAACGTTAAGTACCGAAAAGCCGAGCACTAGACGACTTGCGTGCAACTGATTATAGCAATACGTGGTAAAACGTGAAGACATCCATAGCGTGCGCTCACAGATGTTATTCTAAGATCGTCTGAAGTGTTGTTGTTCAAAATATGAGTGGTAACTTAGTGCCGGTCCGGTTGGGGTGACCCTAATCACAGGGAAACGCAAAGTATATGTTATGGCCTATCGACCTTCGAGTATTCATTGCTAGGATAAAAATTTAGAGTTAAATAAGTGAAGAAAATCCTGTCCATTTACAACTCAATGTTTAAAAACCATTTCCACCCACTGGCTTTTCTCTCAGAATTTATCATGTTTCGGTAGTTGACCTTGTGGATAAAATTTTTTAAGTGCGACCTTTAAAGTAAGAGGTATTCGATGGTCGCTTTTTTTGCTAATGCAGTTTCTCTGTCATCTTTTTCAATGAATGTATGAAATTGATAGAATATTTTAAAAAACAGAAACTTTCTAGCAATGCAGAGAGTGCAAAAAATATGCTGTGTAACAATAACCTTTTGCTCTAGTGATTGCAAATTCAAAACAAGGTTTGCCCGAGGAGTTTAGACATTGAAAGTTCGCGTGACTTCTACCGTTTGTCGTGCTTCCAGCACAGTTCATCACGCGAGGTTGACATGACACAGCAAAAGATGATGAAAACAAAATAACCTGTTTTGCTTCAGTCTTTTTAAAGTTCCTGACAAATTCAAACTGAGAGCAACGTTCCTTTTTTCTTTTTTTTTTTTTTGGTTCAGTTGTTATTGACGCATTTACAAATTGATATTTTTGTGATCAAGACAAACAAACACTTTATCGAGGAGGCTTAACCCTTTGTCAGTTCTTACAGCCGAGGTAGCGTAAAAATGTGAACACTATCAACTTTGCACTCAGGAAAATTTCCGTTCCTGGATAAGTGGTGGGAATTTCAATACCTAGCATAGACGCAACGAAAAACATAGAACATCACGCGATTGTCATTTAAAGTACGTAGAAATGATTCATTATGAGCCAAATCGACAGACAGGGCACAAAAAGGACTTCGCATTCTTTCTCCTCTTCATTCAACTTGTAAAATTTGAAGAATTTTGATCTAATTTAATTGTTTATGTTTCTTTTTTTTACTGAAAAAAGGTTTTGATACTGCTCCTTAGTTGTCAGTCTAACATAGTCACGTTGAAAGTGTTTCTTGATTGACTCTTCTCAGAATTGGAGAGCCATTATCACGGTCAAGTCTCACGTGCCGGGGGTGTACATAAACTCTCTTAAGCTCAAGTATCTTAGTTCACTTTGACTACTTAAGTACAAGGCCAGGACATGCTTAGATGAGTTGAGATTGCTAATCTTTCTTTAGCCCATCTCTTTTGTTTACTTAGCCCTACACACAGCCCTAGTCCGAGTCACGCGTTATCTCAGACATTATAGGGGAAAACCTCAAACAAACAGCAAACAGAGCTTTGCGTGAAAAAAACCCGAGTTTTTGAAAGTTACCAATTTTCTAGAGGATGAATTCCTTTGCTCTTACTAGACTATTGAGTGACGTATGTGAGTGAATTCACGTCATAACTGGCTCGATGTTTATAAGTTTTAAAACAGAACACTTAAAATAAATGTCCATTAAGATTTTTCAACAGTCACGACAGAACTTTTCTGAGCCACTTTTCCTATTAATATTGTCCCGAAGCCATTCTTTTCGTGTAAAATGGTTGATGTCAGTGTCTATAACGGTATCATTTACATTAGCCCAGGGGCCAATAATTAACCCGGTTTATTTAGAAATGATGAGAATGTGTATGGTGCCATCTGCCTCAGAAATCAAACCGAATAGTCGTTTATCGACCACCTTAAGAAAAAAAAGACCAATTTCTTGACTGAGCGTTTATCCAAATTTATTTCAAGTTAGATTTCTAAACGTAGCTAATCTACTTCTATTATGAACCTATTTTACAATCCTGATTTCTATACATTAGAACCTACTTTGTAACTAAGTTACACAAATAAATGTAAAATGACGAAAGTAAAGTTTTACAATATAATACAAAAAGGCGCATTCATTGGAACTTTCGTGAAATCCAAATTGAGAAATATTATTAGATTATCCGAATGGCTAATATCGTGTGCTAGAACAAACACCTAACAATTGTTTCATTTTTATTTGGCCATTGTTTGCAACAAATTAATTGAATGCCCTTGAGGTTATGGACGTGATGTCCTTACATTGAAACAGTTGATACCGGCAACTTGATCATGATGACTCCCACGTTTGATCTTTCAAACAACATAACAGAAACCTCAATGTGAGGTATATTTCCCTGAAATTTTCAAATTATATGCAAAAACGATTAAAATATGTTCTTGATTTTACCTTAATACGGATCTATAGGGTATTTTCATTGATGCTTGTTTTGTTCTACTTAATCGACTTCAAAATCTGCACCTCCATTTTTGGCAGTTGCATATACGCGATTGGAATGCCTGTGATTCGGTCGCTTTTTGTTGGGAATTTATACGAAAATTCCTTATTAGTCTTACTTGTCTAACCATTACTTTTCTATGGTATTGAGAAAAGAAGATTGGAAAGTTTATAGAAAAGAAATAAGACTGATTAGAGAAGATATTTCTTCTAAAAACTAGGCTACTTAGTATAAGTATCGTTCGAGTGGTCACTCAAAGTTCTTCTGTACCCACTTCAAGCCGCGAGTATACGACCGCCACAAGCAATATAAATACTACTTATGGTCTGACTTGTAAAATATGAAACCTAACAAATAAGAATTATTTACAGTCTTAAAAGTGTTCACTTTTTGCGTAAAGTTGTCCTCTACCCTCTACAACTAAACAGAAAACACCGCCTAGTGATTGTACAAGACAATCACTAGTTGTCTGTTTTTTTTTTTCCCACGGAAGTGACATAGCGTTATGGAATTAAGCTCTATGCCTGTTATTTCGAAGCAAAGCCATTTTGTTCCGCTGCAACCATTCTGTCACTTCGTCCAGACGGTAAAACGTAGGTCCGATGCCGCCAGCGTATTCCACTTTCCGCCCTTTTAAGATATACAATCTGATAGGTATGCCAGCATACGCCTTGTTTGCCGTGTCTTGCATGTTGTCCACCACAACAGGGCATTGAAATACAGTGGAGTCAATCATCATCTGTGCCGCCTTACATCTTTCCTCCAAAGTTCGGTGTGTTTTAATGCTGACGTTGTTCTGCAAGGAGAAGTGAGCAAACTAAGTACATAGCCATGTAACTCATTCTAGTTTCTAGGTACAACTTGATGTATCAACACCGCCCTTTCCTTTCAGAAAAAACTTTTACAATTGCAATTTGAAACGAGTATTTATCTCGTAAGAGATGATAGTAAAAAATAAAAACAAAAGTCCATGAAGTGCTTTCAACTGAGTTCTTTGTCGCTGTGGGAAAACTAAAAGTCGAGATCTACTTCTCGAGGTTCTACGTGTAAACTGACTTGAACTGAATTTTTTACCAGCATTGCGTGCATTTTTCTTGTACAAAAAGAAAGCAGATGTTTGATTTTTGAAAACATATCATCAACTTACGGTGAAATAAATCTCAGTTGTGTAGTAAATTCGTAGCTGTGAATTTCAAACAACTTTCGGTTAACACTCGGATTCATTATATATGCAAGTAACACCCCTGTTAAAGAAAGGTGATGTTTGGATAACGTTCATTTGCTCATTTGTCGGTTTTCAGGGTTGCTACATATTTGAAAATTTCAGATTGCCAAATCACTTTTGTTTTAAGAGCAAATAAATCAAATCAACAAAATCTATAGAATAGCTGTTGAACAACTTGCACTTGAAAGCTGTGAAAGACTCAAAGGGTTTGATCCACAGGTTGGTTTGATATTTACCCTAAAATCACTTTACAGTCCGGACTGTTTTTTGCCTTCAGTTTTCTTACCTCAAATGCCCATGCATCGCTTGGATGAGCCTCCTCAATGTACACCGTCAGAAAATCAGCCACGTCACTAAACTCTCGCACAATGCTGAGATATTCTCCCACTCTTGCTCGAAAAATTGGACAGGTCCAGCTGCAAAAGTTGATCACCAGTGGACGGTTTCCCTTGCAAAAGTCTAACAGTTGATAGCTCGACTTGCCATCGACGGAAAGCACGAGAGAGTCTGGGGCCAGGTTTCCTACTTGCGCCCTTTTCTGAAGCTCCAGTAAGATCGAAGAACGCATTGACTCGAACATGGGTCGAGTGAAAAGCGTGTGCGCGAAGTCTTCACGACGCAGTTTAATCGTCGCCATCTTGTTAAACAGTTCACAGACAATGGGCTGCGCAAACGGAAAAAGTTTCAATAGGCGAAAGATGGAAAACGCGAGAAGCAGTGTAACAGATCCAACGTAGTACATGAACACTGTTGAAAGCTTGCTCATATTTTGCAACATGGTCGGTATATACCGTGTATGCTACCTGGCGCAGACAAGATCAAGCTGTTCGCTGTGCTGCGATTGAAGTGCAACTGAAGGTGAAATTGGTTAATCAATGTTTTTGTTCAGCTGCGGGAGAATTTGAAGAATTTTCTCCGTGACCTTTGAGGCAAATCTTTGCGTGCGATTTTTCAAATACTTGTTGTTCGCACATGGTTGCTTTTAAAAGCGGAACAAAGTATTTTGCGCGGGTTTGTAAGCAACAAAACAAGTCTTCATATTTGTTCAGTGTCCTCCAAATTTGGTCTATGCGTGCCTGTGGTATTTAGCGGTAGCCCTTTACAATTGAAATAAACACAACTGTTCGCAGCAGTATCTCTCCACATGTACTAGACGTAATGATGAATGAGTAGTAGCTCTTTTCTTGTGAATTATTTTTCGATGACCTTCATTTGTTCTCGAAGGCACGACTAGCACGCAATGGATTAAAAATTTTGTTCATAATGCTGAGTCAATTTTTATGTCTTCCTTCAGCTGGAAAGTAAATATTCACTCAGGAAGAGCAAATTCCACGTGGGCAGAACGAAATCCACTTAAAGATTTCTGCGTCTTCCTAGAGAAAAAGCCTTAAATAGCGGTTGCGACGAATCCAAACTGAATTTTCGCTTGTTCACGCTGAGACAGAAGCCGGTTTTAGCGGCGTTTTTTGCCGCCAAATTTTGCGTGATTTCAAATGTTGTAAACAAATGTAACTTGAATCACGCGACGGACATGAGGTAGATCACGCGAACTTTAATCGTTGCATTCATACATTGGGAATACAAGACGGAAGGTGCTCTCGATCGCTTGAGAAATTTATGTATGGGAAAACAAAATACTTAGTACTCGTGGATCATAATTGAGTATTTATGTGTCTTTCCGTTGCAAAATTTTCTTCCCAGCGTGATACCCTTGTATAGCAATTAGCAGCGCGCTCGAGTGCACAGTACAAACAGGATGTCGTGCACTAGACATTTAAACGGATATAGCGACGGTTGACTCGTTTTTCGTCATTTTGTTCAAGCTCCTGGTAAATATCGTTAGTTCGTCAAGAACAGGGGTGTTTTTCCTGCATATCCCATGCACTTGTTGAAAGCATTCTGTGCAGCTATCAGTTAGGTGATGATTGCAACGGCGATTGTTGGTGTCGAAGGTCTTGGTCCCCAAATCATGATCACGCACGACTTAAAAAGTTTTTAAAACAAAAATTATAAAATTTTCTCCTCTCTATGGCTGGCTCAGTAGTTTTAAAGTGGTTAAAAAATGCTGCTCAGAAAACATGAACCTGCACTCAGAGACCTCTCTTCAGAAAGGATCACATTATCAAACCCTTTCTCGAAGATGACTCTGTAATTAAATCAAGGATTTGATTGGCCTGGAGAGAAAGGTTAAAAGAGGATGAGACTGCATTGAATTAAATTCTTACATCTCTGTTTTTCAGACAGCAATGCAGTGGAACTCGTAAACAAAATGCTTACCAAAGAAAAACCATGTTTTCTCGAATATCCTGGCAAGAAAAACTTAGTTGAAATCATTTTGATACAAACAGTGAAAGTGTTATAACGGTTTTCGCGCGAATCTTTGCGCGTCATTAACAGATGTATTGTGTAATTACTGAGTTCTAGGTTGTTACGAAAACACTTACATTGCTTTAATAGTTTTTCATGTGAATTGCCACATTCTATAGAGTGATGTATTGACTAAGGGGTCAGACACCAACTTATTACATAACGAGAGGTCCAAGGTTGTTACAATAGATAAAAGATTAAATGCATGTTGAAATGTAATTATTTTTTAATAAAGTTATTTTCACTGATATAAGTTCTTATATTTGTCATCTATTTTTGTGAATAGTCTGGAGTTTATAGAGAAGCTTTCAAGCAAGGCACGTCAACTGCAAAAGCTATTGTCATTCGAGCTTAATTTCCTTGAATTTGGCGAATTTTTGCAATGGCAGGATCGCAAAGATTGGTTGTAGTGTTCAAGACAAAACAGTGTCGTTGATACCTCACCATGAGAGTGTAATATTTAAAGAATTTTCCCGCGGGATATAGTGACTGGCACGTGACGGCTGAGCTTCAACATGAAGGTAGACTTTATTACCAAAAGTCCTCTTCTAATCGCATTCTAAACGCCAAACAGTGAAAGTCTAAATCAACGATAAACGAAAGAATGTCCATATCTCGGACTGGGAGTGTGAGCTCAAGTTCTGATCTCGTTTTGGGTAGCGCGAAAAGAGCTTCATTCCTAAATAGGAATGAGATGCCTGAGTTTCAAGGAGATAAGAAACTTCCTGAAAAGAATTTTAGCTCGACAGAAAAGAATAGGGGTTATGGGATTACCCGATTCATAGGAGAACACCAGACTCTTCTTCTGTCAGTTTTAGCATTCTCGAGGCCCTCTTTTGAAGACCCCTCCGGCTAGCAGGGACAAGAGCTTTGCCGGGTGCGGATGCGCGCTTTATTGAAATACATTTATTACCGACTCTTTTTGGTTCATGGAGAATTAGTAAAGCTTCTATGCCGGCTATATGCTACCAAATGCGGCATCGCTCCGTCGTTTCGGCCTCTCGACAGGGTCTCGGCTTAAGTGCACTTTTTAAGTCATTTCACATGTCTTTTGTCACCCAATTTACCTTCATCCTTGCTGGATATACTCTAGGCGCGAAAAGGTGTAATGTCAAACGTTGCACATGTCTATGTTTGTTGATCAAGTCAGACTGCCAGGGGCGTAGGTAAATGCGCCTTAACTCGAAGGGGCCGGCCTTGATAAAATTGCCAGATTCGTATCAGTTCAATTAATAGGGATGTGAAGATTTGTTTTTTTTCGCTTAGAGTTCACGTTATTACTATCAATGTGTTTGGTTTTGTCATAAGTATAGAAACGGAGGATTCACTTTTAGCCCCGGCTAAATCTATATATTAAATTAATACAGCTTCCGCTTGTGGGAAAAGAAAAGGAGAAAACACTGCATTTTGCTTTGAAAAATTATCTTGGTGATGTTCAAACGGTATAACATCAGGAGAAGTTCCACCACTTTTCAGTCACCTCTTATGTAAAATATACCACTCGTAAAATTCATAAAAACTACATCCGGGACCCGAGTGGTTTATTTTCCATAATCTCACACGTGAGTTTATCGATGACGTAATTTCGGCAATTTTCCCTTCGAAATTTGTAGGCGTCGTGCGTCTTTTGAATTTTACTTACACATTTTTCAAAGCTTTGATTATATTTTGTCATTGTAGAACCCTATTCAGCTCAGTGTTATTTCTCAAGATAAATAATGTCTTATATTGCTGCACTGTAAATTTGAGCCGTCACAATTACGTTTTGGCGAATAAAAATCTATTATTTTATCGATGTCTTTTTGTCTATATAATAAATAGAGGATATTACACGGCGGCTTGAAGATATGAATTTTATTTTCTCGTGGCAAAAACAATATTTTACGAACGAGCGCAGCGAGTGAGTAAAATATTGTTTTTGCCACGAGAAAATAAAATTCATATCTTCGCGCCACCGTGTAATATCCTCTATATCCTGCAGTCAGATGAAAGAAGATTTTTTTCACGGTGAGAAAATAAATCTTCCATGATCAAGCCAACATTATCTACCCAAACCATTGTGCTGTGTGTACGTATTAATATGAAATTAAAGTGAAAAGACATAGAAACCACTTCAGGTGGCTTCCATTTACTAAGTTCTATACTCTTCCATTATTTATTTATTTCAGTATTTTGTGTTTAAATTTGACAAACGTACTAATAGCTGCCCCCCTAAATATTTCGAGATCCTTAACAAAACAGTAAATCTACCGTTTGACGCTACTATGATATTTCACATGCAAATTGTGCTAGACAAATCTTTGCTTAATGGTGCGATTCACATAAGCATACTGCAAATCAGCTGGTTCCAAACGTGATCTATTCGATCTGGAAAAGAGCGTGCGATCATAACACGCTTTGTTTCCAAGCCTTCGTTAAGCCTTTATTCAATAACCTTTATGGAGTCTTAATTGACTCTCTCTTGAAATAGAGTGAGATTCCAAGTGCCCCTTCCCAATAGCAACGCCTTACCATCGCACCGCTATGTCGCGTGCGGCTCCGCTTAATGGTCTCGAACGCTTATTGAGCCTGTCTTTGACAAATGACCACTTTTAAATTTGATATCACCGCCGCTATTAGAGGTTTTTCATTACTGATGAAGTATAATATATAAACCGCAAATTAAGGCAGGCGGTTTTCAATTGACCGAGGCATAAAATGGCGTGCAAACGGGTATTAGGTCTTTTTCACTGGTGCTACTTTTGTTGTTATAGAGTAAAGAGAGCCAAAACCCAACCAGATCAAACATCACTGGAAACCTTTTGGGAATTAGACTGTGCTTTTTGAAACTAATATTAATATAAAGCTTGAAGAATTATCAGCTTCGAATTTTTTTTATACTATATGACTATTTTAAGCTTTCGTGACGTGAAAGATCGTCACAGTGCGCAACTAAGTAACATGTAGTTGTCAAAAGAAAGCCTGCTTAAAAAAAATTTAGGCTTTTTCGATCTTTCTTTTTGCAAATGCTGTACTTGCGTACATACTGTATCGTAACGATTTCATTTGTCTGTGTGACTCTTCCGCGTATTAATACAGCTTCCGCTTGTGGGAAAAGAAAAGGAGAAAACACTGCATTTTGCTTTGAAAAATTATCTTGGTGATGTTCAAACGGTATAACATCAGGAGAAGTTCCACCACTTTTCAGTCACCTCTTATGTTGCCTGTTCAATTCCTTTTTCCGAGCCTCATAGATCAATCTTTGGAATAACAGTTTCTGTTACTGAACTTATTTATTGGGTGTAAATGGAAAAACCCTGTTGTATGATCATAAGTTGCTTTTCAGACGCCTGCAGGTAACGTGCACCTCCGCTTTTAGACACGCACTTGTAACATACCGTTGTCTTTGCCCCCAAAACGGTCCGTTTTTGT